CCGCCCTACCTCCCCTCTGCCTTCAGGCTCCAGGACTGCAACCAGAAGGGTGGGTTGATGGAGAGAGGAAAGGCAGTGCTCTGGAATCCAGAGTCAGGACCACGCTCCCCTTTTACCGGACAACACCTCCAGATGCACTGTCCTGCACCTCTGAAGCACCTGGCCCAGAAAGTTCATTTCCATAGGATTGTGGAAAGCCTCCAAATACCCAGATAACTTTACTCAACTCCCTCTTAGTCTCATCTGATAAGGAGGTGTGGCCTATTTTTCTCTCTTAGAAGTTTTCGTGCGCTATGTCCACGTGCTATATTCAAGGAGTTTTTCACTGAAGGACTCCTCAAGGGTTGCCACGTGTAGTGAGGAGGACCCCAGGCATCATCTCTCCATTGTCTGGATCTATCTCGTTACCTTTTGTCTGCAGTTGAAAACATCCAGGCAGGGCGCCTGGGTGGCTCAGTCGGTTAAGCGACTGCCTTCGGCTCAGGTCATGATCCTGGAGTCCCAGGATCGAGTCCCGCATCAGGCTCCCTGCTCGGCAGGGAGTCTGCTTCTGCCTCTGACCCTCCTCCCTCTCATGCTCTCTCTCTCTCTCAAATAAATAAATAAAATCTTAAAAAAAAGAATCAATAAATTCATCAAGGTGGAGCATCTTGGGTAATATAACCATTAATACAGAGGGCAGGGTGCCTGGGTGGCTCAGTTGGTTAAGCGACTGCCTTCGGCTCAGGTCATGATCCTGGAGTCCCGGGATCGAGTCCCGCATCGGGCTCCCTGCTCGGCGGGGGGTCTGCTTCTCCCTCTGACCCTCTTCCCTCTTGTGCTGTCTCTCATTATCTCTCTCAAATAAATAAATAAAATCTTTAAAAAAAAAAAAGAAAGAAAAGAAAACATCCAGGCAAAAATCGTCCTAAATCTAAATGTCAGGAGCCCAGAGTGAGTTCCTCTTACTTGAATTTTCATGGAAGAGACAGTGAGACTATTTTCATAGGCTTTGAAGCCACACCTTCGGGGCTTTCATTATCTGCCATGTATTAAATGGATTCCCTCCCTCTGTTAAGGGTTACGTGCCACACTGTAGAGGACCGATCTGTGTTCATCCCAAGTAGCTTAACTATCCAGATAAAGTAGCCCATGCAGAACGTCGTGGCCACTCTAGGGAACGTTAGTTGAATGACTACGTGAAGATTTGATTCTACTGTCTGCTCCTGCATTCATGCTCTTGGTCCTACTATGAGTTCAGGACTGATGAAACTTATTTTCAATAAGAATTCAAGCAGACAGGACTGTTGGCTACTCACGGGAAGGTGTCTGGCATTCCAGCGGGAGCTCTGGCTCTGCTGTGATTGGGGGTCGTACCCTGTGGATGCTGCTGCAGTGGGGCTAGGCTTTCAGCACACACAGCCTGTGAATATGTGTGCCTGTATTTGGACCACTGCACTGCTGAACAGACAGCAAGGCTATTCAAACCTTCAAGGTTGGCTGTGTCTACACAAACATCCACGTGGTTATATAAGCAGCACAGTTCAGTTGTGGGAACAGGATTTTTCGAAACTTAAAAAACTCAGAAAAAGAGACAAAAAGAGCAACTTTACAGCAGAGAAACCCAGCAAACGCTGCTTTAGCCAGGTGACCAAGGTCAAGATCAACAGTCATATATTATGTTGAGATGCACCCTTAACATGATGTGATGAAAATGGCACATTTGTGACCTTCCTTTCAAAAACCTACAACCCTAATCATGAGAAAAACATCAATCAAATTCCAATAATGGGACATCCTACTATAGGCCTGACCCAAACCCCTCAAAACTATCAAGGTCATCAAAAAAACAAGGACAGTCAGAAGCTGCCACAGTCAAGGGGTGCCTAAGGAGACAAGACATCTAGATATAAAGTGACATCCTGGATGGGATCCCAGAACAGAAAGAGGACATTAGGTAAAAACTCAGGAAATCTGAATATACTATGGAGTTTAGTTAATAATAATGTATTGATATTGGTTCATTGATTGTGATAAAGATACTATATTAACGTAAGATGTTGATAATAAGGGAAATTGTGTGAAGGGCATAGCATATTCCTATATACTCGGTACTAACCATCTGTATTATGTGCTTCACTTTCCTGTAAATCTAAAACTGTTCTAAAATAAAGTCTACTACTACTACTACTAAAACATATATAAGGTAGTGGAGCTAGTTTGCCAAGGTGAAGGAATGCATCAAGAATAAATAAAATATGTATTTTTTTATTTGTTATACCTCAATAGACCTTCAAGGCATTATGCTAAGAGAAATAAGTCAGAGAAAGACAAATATTCTATGACCTCATTTCTATGTGGAATCCAAAAAAGAAAAAAAAAAAAACAAGCAAACAAACAAACTCACTGATACAGAGAACAGATTAGATTGGCAGTTGCCAGAGACGGGGAGCGAGGGGGGCAGACAAAATGGGGGATGGGGGTCAAAGGGTACAAACATCCAGTTAAGATAAATAAGTCCTGGGGATGAGATGTACAGTACGGTGGGGAAAAAAAAGAATAAATAAAATACCACCATACCCTTCAACATGGAAGCTAAGGAGTGAACACTTAATAATCCTACTAAGTTTAATGTTTCTTACTTTATGTAATGTGCAAAATGGTGCTTTAAAATAATAAATGAAGAGGTCAGACACAGAGGTCCCATATTGTATGAGTCCATTCACGCCTAATTTCTGAAGTGAGTAAGTCCACAGATAAAGAAAGCAGATCAGTGGTTGCCAGAGGCTAAGGGGACGAAGGAATGGGGAGTGAATGCTGATAGGCCTGGGCTTCCTCTTCTGGTGATGAAATGTTCTGGAACTAGACAGAGGTGATGCTGGTACAACACTGTGAGTGTCCCTAATGTCAGTGAGTTATTCACTTTAAAATGGTCCATTTTATGTGAAGTGAATTTTACTTCCATCAAAAATAATTCATGATGATGAAATAATTTAATAATTTTAAAATAAGAAATTTTTAAAGAAAATTAACACGATACTCGAATAGTGATATGTAAATAGCGATTTTGCTTATCGGCTATTTATTCTTTGTCAGAATTCTGAATGTTCATTTAGCATGATTGTGAAACTGTAGTGACCAGTTAGAATACAAGTCATTTTCATGAAGAAGAAGTCAGGAAGCAATTGTTCAAGTCAAAAAGGGGGTCTGAGCCCAGAACCAGGTTTGTGTCCATGGATATCGTCGGCTAGAGGGCTGGCCCGACTTCCCAGCCCCGGCTCCGTCCGTCGTTCAGTGGCGGGGAGTCTTCAGCAGTAACTTGAAGTTCCTGGTGCTCACTGTCTTTGTAAACCGAGAAAAGAGAGCCAGGGAGAAACTTCTGAGTGTTTGTAAGCAAAACATGAGCTCACCGGTGTGTGTGCATGTTGGCAGGGGTGAGGGAGAGGAGTGGGGGAACTGGCGCAGGGGTGATCCCCTCCCACTAAACAGCCTCTGGCTGTGGCCCCCCGGAACCCCAGTGGCGGAGCTGTGCCCTGCTGCAGGGGAGGTCTGCCGGCCAACCACGGCACCTTGGTTTCTCCAGGGACTTAGCCTGTGACAGCAGGGCCTGGGGAATGGGATCAAATTTAATCTGGTGCCTGGTGTCCGGGGTTCTCCTTCCCTTTCCAGCAGCCTCTCCAGACGGCCGGCAGCAGAGGAAGGCGAGTGCGCTCTGTCACTGCAGCCCAGCTCGGACAACTCAGGACTGCAGCGTGTGAAGGGCGTAGGGGAGAGGGGTGGGTGCTCGAGAGACGGCAGGTGCACCCTCCCTGTTCCTCAGCACCCCGCTCCTGGCCAGCCGATGCTGGGTGACAGTGGAAGGACCCCACCAGGAAGGTCACTCCCCAGGGGACAGGCCCGCTGCTGCCACCAGACTATGGCAGGAGGGAGCCGTCCTCTCCCACACAGGTACTCGCCTCTCCCCGCAGGACCATTCCAGGGGGAGGCGCCCAACGCGACAGTGGCTGCCCCCCATCCCAACAGGTTACTAACCCATCTGTCCCGGAGGTGGAGAACGAGGCAACTCCTCCCCACGAATGGCCGCATTACCTGACTCAGAGCTCCCCCTTCTGTCACTCCGTCTAAACACCAGTGCTGCCCTCATGTCCAGGTTCAGGTCAAGAGGCAGACATACAAAATTTTTAGCACCTTCAACAATGACAAGAGATAACAGAAAGCATGGCAGAAACGGAGTCTGGCACCTATTTACCAACCCGAGCGAGAAGTATTTATAACTCACCTTCTGAAATGTGCCTCGGGAGGCTGGGAAAACAGGCACACGTGAAAAGCTGCTAGATTCTACTTTAGACTTAAAATGGCAATGAGTTACAGTCAGATATCATGAAGTCAGAAAATGTCAGCCCTTTAAAGTAATGATAATAAGAAAAAAATCTTGAGCATTTCGCATATCTTTCTCCTAACATAATGTGGGATAACAGGGTGGCATCTTTTGAATATGGCTTTCTACACACTTGTTCATTCATTTATTCAATGAACGTGTGTCACACGTTTAAGCTGTGCGGGATTAAGGAGGTAGTGGGAATATAGAGATAAAGGTCTCCCTGCTGCCCTAGAGCAACTCAACCAGGCAACATAGAAGCGAGGGGCTAGAGCCGACTGTGAAACACCCTACTACGGGATATATTCCCGATGCTACGAGAACACAGGGGGAAGTATCAAGTCCTCCCTTGGGGGTTAGGGCATGTTCGGAGAAAGGACCCCACAGCTGAGCCTGGAAGGACCGAACCATGCACAACAGGGGAGGTTGAGGCAGCCCTTAGGCCCTGGGAATAGGAATACCAGACCAAAGGAGGACCCCAGCAGAGCCAATCCCAGGAACCTCAGGGAGCTCTGTTGGATTGCCTGCAGATTGGAGTCTTCAGGGTCCCAAGAGTAGTGTGGCACTCACATGATAGAGTGAGACTCGGCACCACCACTCATTAGCCTTCCCCACCCCCACACACCCTCAACCCTCACCTGCACATGCATCTTGGTATGACTGACGGCTATACCTCTTAGAATGGAGAGGTCTCAACAGGATGCAAAGGTCAAGGTCAGGCAGTCAGCAAATAAGGCAGCTTCCCAGGGGCCAGCCAACATCTCAGAGGAAACCTTGGCCTACCTCCTTCCAGGTCTTCAAGTTTCACTTAGGGGACCTGCTCTGCCCTTTTCAAACTCCACTCCTTCGGTCAGTACCTTTCCATGACAATGTGCTTACTGCGAAACACTGAAGTGAGAAAAACAGGGACAGTGTAGAGAGTCTCATTTTTAATGAAGCTAAATAAATTCAATTTTAAAATGTGCCTTCAATCTTGACAGCATATGTTTCCCGTTCTGAGAGGAGATATGCAGTGTTGCATGTCCTTTATTTTGTAACATGATGGTAATACAGAGGACAGGATTTCTTAAATGCCTTTTCATGAGGAAATTATAATTTGGTAATTTCTGCCAAGCTTTCAGTTTTTCTTTTGAATTGTTATTAGTTGGTGAAATCTCAAAGTCTGGGGATCACTGCGTTGGTCATCTGGAACTAGAGTCATGGACTATCTCTCAATATTCTCTCCTTCTTTGGTCAAAAGTAGAGGAGGCCTCTGACTAAATCGTGAGGTAGCTGGACTATTTCTCAATGTCCTCTCCTTCCTTGGTCAAAAGTAGATGAGGCCTCTGACTAAATCGTGAGCTATCTGAGATGCGTTCACACAGAAGTTTGCCAGGACAGCAAAGGCTAGACTATAGTAACAGAGTAAGCCTAAAATCTCAAAGGCTTAATGAAAAACCAAACTTATTTCTTATTTCTTACATTACACCTCCAACGTGGGTCAGCAGGGGGCTCTACTCCACAGGATCCCTCAGGGCCCCGGGCTGATGGGCAGCGCCACCACTTTGTAGCAGCACGTGGAAAACAGGTGGCCTCTGAAGACAACATGAAACATGAGGAGAGGCCTGGAGAGTCACACGGCAGCTGTGACGGCCAGGCCTAGAAGTGACAAACCTTGTTTCTAACCACATCTCCTTGGTCAGCCATGGAGGCCCAACCTAACCATGAGAGGATTTTCAGTACATGCTAAATGTTTCTGATGAACCCGGACTATAGTGGGAAAAAGACACTGATCAAGTAAATAAGGGCAAGACTGCAAAGCCTTTTGACTTCTAGGTGAAGGAGTTAGTACCCTACCCTAGAGGCATCAGAGAGAACCAAGGAAAAGGCCAATGTTTAAAATGTTGCTTTAGAAAATTTCAGCTAATCCCAGCATGAAAGACGGATTTCAAGAAGGCACAAGAGTGAGGAAGACCAGTTTGGAAGGTGTTCTAACAGTCTTGACATTTGGTAATAAGAGCTGTGTGTTGTACAAGGAGAGTGAAAGTAGAGATGAACATTACATTTTCTGTAGAAGATTAATTACATGGAATGTCAGGATTGGAAATCCAGAGTTTGCAGTCAAGAGGTGATATGTGAAACCACGAGAGCCTGCCGAGAGAGAGAGAGAAGAGGGGTCCACCCAGAGCTTTGCTGCCCCTTGGCAAGCAGGGGCTGATGAAGCATGAGAAGTTGGCTCCCTCGAGGGAGGCGAGTACTGAGCGGGCAAGACTTAGATTTGGGCATTCTCTCTCTCTCTCTCTTTTTTTAAGATTTTATTTATTTATTTGAGAGAGAAAGATAGCATGAAAGGGAGAGCAAGCACAAGTGGAGGGGAAGGGCAGAGGGAGAGGGGATCCCAGGACCCCTGAGCCAAAGGCAGCCACTTAACAGACTGAGCCACCCAGGTGTTCCTGGGCATTCTCTTTCTGGAAATTCCATATGTAATCTTAGGATGAGCAATAAAGGGACTGAAAATTAAAGTCAATATTTTTATTTCTGTATAAATTTGGAGCTTTCTGTATTTTCTAATTTATCTGATACAAAGATATGTTACCTTTATAATAAGATTAGAAACTCCTGTTTTTAGTTTAAAAAGGAAGGGGGAAAAAGTTAAAAGCAAGTTTCCATCTCCATCAACTGTAAAACCAATCATTCTTCCCTGAAACTCACACCCGTTTTAGTCCTGTAACTCTCATCCTGACACACACCTCCTGGGAACCCAGCACCCAAGGGAACTGGATATGATGGGTTTGCATGTGTGAATACATCATAACACACTCACCCAGAGACATAAACACACACAGCATTGTTATGGACAATTCAGTGATTCTGTCAGTCTTTATCAAATCACTCTCTGACCCATACAGTGAATTAGACTTACTATTGAGAATAGAAAACATCACATCCACTGCATGGTCTGAGAAATTTCCCTTTTCTAGTCTTTCCAAACTCTCTCCTTAAGCAACTCACCTCCGATCTTTATTTCATGAAGCTACTCTTTAAATGCCAAGTGCAAAATGTGGGCGCCTGGGTGGCTCAGTTGGTTAAGCGACTGCCTTCGGCTCAGGTCATGATTCCGCAGTCCCGGGATCGAGTCCCGCATCGGGCTCCCTGCTTGGCGGGGAGTCTGCTTCTCCCTCTGACCCTCCCCCCTCTCATGTGCTCTCTGTCTCTCTCATTCTCTCTGTCTCAAATAAATAAATAAAAAATCTTTAAAAAAAATGTGAGCTATGAGGCACAAGACAAATGTAACCTATTCAGAATATAAATGAACAAGCAAAATTCTCTTTCTGATTTAAAAAAAAAAAAAAAAAGCTCAAAGTATGTGCTGTACTGGCAGAGTTAAGAGCCTTGTCTTCATATACAAAGGATGACACCCTATTAAAAACACAGTGTTTTGCTTCATGTTTGACATTCTCAATCCATGGGTCACTTCTGTAGTCTCCGATATCAACACCCATGATAAACGTAAGTGATTTAAAAAAATAAAAAACCAGAACAGATCAGCACAGTGGTGAAAAGTACTGACTTTGGATGTAATCAAATCAAAATGCAAAGCCTGGTTCTGTCACTCAGTCATGAGTGCCTTTGGGCAAGTCACTGAGTTCCCCGTGCCTGTTTCCTAATCTGTGAAATGCCAACAGTGACCCCCACCGCATAGGTCTCCTGCAATTACTGAAAAGAGATAAGCATGTCAGGTCCTTAGCCCCATGCCTCACACATAGTGAGCCCTCCACCGTTGAGGAGCCCTCCTCAGAGTTTCCTTATAGATGAGAAAGTGAAGCCCAAAAGTTTCAGAGACAGGACAGGGCTCAGCACAGGCAAAGCTACCCTTATACGGCCCCGATTCCCTGAAGCTCCCAAAGCTAGCTGGTAGATAATCTCTTTCATGCTGCAAAGAGATTCCATCAGTCTTGGACATGCGGGGTGGGGGATGCACAGTGAGCCTGGAGAGATCAGGGCACCAAGGATCAGCAGCACGGCCAAGACTTCAGCCAACCCTGGCAGAGAAGCCAAGGAGCAAGACGGTTCTAGAGGGGCCATCATCAGCCCCTTGGTGGGATTTGTCCATTGCTCCGGACACGAGAGCTCTGTCATATTGGGGATCCAGCCATTCCAAGGCCATGGCTGAATCTCCAGCTCTTCTTCCTGCTTCTACTTATCCAAGGCTTCCACTGCCTAAGGCTCTGCTCACTGCCTTTGCTCTGCTTCTCTAAACTTCCCAGAAGGGGCTACGGGCATGGCAAGCACCAAAGGCCTCTTATACGTAACTAAAGCACACTCGTTATCTGAGAATATGTCTCTTTTTTCATGGTGGTGGTGGTGCAGGAGCATGGCTAAAATGTTTCTGAAGCTATTGACCTTCAAAGAAAGTCTGAAGTATTCAGATCCATATCACAGGAATACAAGGGATCATAAGGAACTACTATGAACAGTTATACGCCAACAAACTGGACAACCTAGAAGAAATGGATAAATTCCTAGAAACATACAACTTACTAAGACTGAATCATAAAGAAATAGAAACTCATAGCAGACTGATTACTAGTAAAAACCTCCCGACAGACAAAAGTCCAGGACCAGATGGCTTCACTGGTGAATTCTACCAAACAGTTACAGAAAAATTAATACCAATCCTTCTCAAACTCTTCCAAAATACAGAAGAGGAAGGAGCACTTCCAAACTCATTTTGTCTGATACAGAAACCAGACAAGAACACCGTAAGAAAAGAAAATTGTAGGCCACATCCCTGACGAATACGAATGCAAAATTTTTCAACAAAATATTTTCAAACTGAACTTAACAATACATTAAAAGGATCATAGACTATGATCAAGTAGGATTTACTTCAGAGATGCCACGATGTTTCAACATCTACATATCAATTAATGTGATACACCACATTAACAAAACGAAAGATAAACATCATAGGGGGAGACAAACCATGAGAGACTATGGACTCTGAGAAACAAACTGAGGGTTCTAGAGGGGAGGGGTGTGGGAGGATGGGTTAGCCTGGTGATGGGTATTAAAGAGGGCACATACTGCATGGAGCACTGGGTGTTATACACAAACAATGAATCATGGAACACTACATCAAAAACTAATGATGTAATGTGTGGTGATTAGCATAACATAATAATTAAAAAAAGAATCACTAAAAAGAATCATGTAAATATTCTCATTTTATAAAATACAGAAGTTAATATTGGAAATGCTTAGTCTTCGAATATTTGATTGAATGGTGGAAGTGATTATATTGAGTGTGAATTTTAGACATTATTTAATTTTTGGTTTTATGTGGTACTATTACTAATAAAGAGATATTTGTATATAAAAAAATCATAGGACCATCTCAATGGATGCAGAAATAGCATGTGACAAAATTCAACATCCTTTCATGATAAAAACTTTCAATAAAGTGGGAATAGAGGCACCTCAGCATAATAAAGGCCATATATGACAAGCCCAGAGTTAACATACTCAGTGATGAAATACTGAAAACTTTTCCTGTAAGATCAAAAACAAGACAAAGGTGCCCACTCTCACCACTTTTATTCACCACAGAATTAGAATAATTAGGCAAGGAAAAGAAATAATCCAAATCAGAAAGGAAGAAGTAAAATTGTCTCTACTTGCAGATGATGTGATATTACATATAGAAAAATCTAAGGACTCCATCAAAACTCTGTTAGAACTGACAAATGATTTCAGTAAAGTTGCAGGACACAAAATCAATACACAAAAATCCGTTCCATTTCTATATACCAACAATGAACTATCAGAAAGAAATTAAGAAATCAATCCCATTTACAATAGCATCAACAAGAATAAGGAACAAATGTAACCAAGGAGGTGAAAGATGTGTACACTGAAAACTAAAGACACTGATGAAAGAAACTAAAAGGGACACAAATATATGGAAATATATTCTGCGTTCATGGATTAGAAAACTTAATATTGTTAAAATGTTTATACTGCCCAAAGCAGTCTATGGGTCCAATGCAATCCCTATAAAAATTCTAATGGCATTTTTCACAGTTTTTTTTTTTAAATCCTAAAATCTGTATGGAACCACAGAAGGCCCCAAATTACCAAAGCAATCTTCTGAAAGAACAAAGCTAGAGGCAGCACATTTCCTGATCTCAAACTATATTACAAAGCCATGGTAACCAAAAGAGTATGGTATTGGCATAAAAACAAACACAGAAATTAATGGAGCAGTATAGAAAGCTCAGAAATAAATCCATGCATGTATAGTCAATCAATTTCAACAGAATAGCCATCAATATACAATAGGGAAAAGATGGTATGTTCAGTAAATGGACCGCTATGTGCAAAAGAATGAAGCTGGACCCCTATCTCACACCATACACAAAAATCAACTCAAAATGGATTAAACACTGTAACCTAAGACCAGAAAATGTAAAACTCCTACAAGAAAACAGAGAGTAAGCTCCTTGACATTGGTCTTGGCAATGATTTTTTTGTTGTTGTTTTGACATGAAAAGTAAAGTCAACAAAAGCAAAAATAAACAATTGGGACTACATCAAACTAAAAAGCTTCTGCACAACAAAGAAAACCAAAGCAAAATGAAAAGGCAGCCTACGGAATGGGAGGAAATATTTGCAAATCATGTATCTGATAAGGGGTTAATCTCCAAAATATGCAAGGAACCCATATAACTTAATGTAAAAAAATAAACAACCCAATTAAAAAATGGGAAAAGAGTCTAAATGGACATTTTCCTGAAGACATACAAATAGCCAACAAATACATGTGAAGGTGCTTAACATCACCACCTCAGGAAAATGACAATCAAAACCAAGATGAGGTTATCACTTCACACTTGTTAGGATATCTATTATAAAAAAGACAAAAAAATTATAAGTGCTGGTGAGGATATAGGGAAAAGGAAATCCTTTACATGTTGGTGAGAAAGTAAATTGGTACAGCCAGTATGGAAGTTCCTCAAGAAATTAAAAACAGAACTGCCATATGATCCAACAATCCCACTTCTGGATTGTCCAAAGGAAAGGAACACATCATCTCCAAGAGACATCTGTCCTCCTATGTTCATAGCAGCATTATTCACAATACCCAAGAAACGGAAGCAACCTAAGTGTACGTAGACAGATGAATAAAGAAAATGGACACACACACAACAGAATATTATTCAGCCTTAAAAAAAGGAAATCATGGGGCGCCTGGGTGGCTCAGTTGTTAAGCGTCTGCCTTCGGCTCAGGTCATGATCCCAGGGTCTGGGGATCAAGCCCCACGTCAGGTTCCCTGCTCAGTGGGGAGCCTGCTTCTCCCTCTCCTTCTGCCCTCCCCCGCCCACGCTCGTGCTTGCTCCCTCGCTCTCTCTTTCATGTTTTCTCTCTCAAATAAATAAAACCCTAAAAAAAAATAAATAAATAAACCATTCACTGACTTTTTTTTTTTTTTACAATAGGAAAGGTGATGGACTGAAAATTTCTGAAACATAAAATAATAGTAACTATATGATTCTAGGCAGTGAGCAATACCACTTAGGAAATTTTGAAAGTTTTCCATCCTCCCAGTCTTCACGGGGCCCTGATTCCCTTTGACTATCTCCAAAAGACATTTGATTTTTTCCAGTTTCAAGAAGATAGTCCATGTAAACTTTTATTCAATAAAGTGAGTTAGAGAGCATTTCTAATCCGATGAAAATCCACACGGGCCATCTCAGAAGGTAGGAACTGGGGTGTGATTTAATAAGGGGACACGCAATCCACTGTATGGCGCCTGGATTACAGGAAGATGGTGAACCAAAGCCGGACCTGGGCAGGAGCTCAGTGAATATTTTCAGGAGCGTGGCTTGGCCAAGGGGTGAACACACAAGTCCAGAACCCAGAAAAAGAGGTCAGGCCGAGTCACCAGGTATTGGCAAGCAGATGGGGCACAAGCCACGTGCCACGAGACGGGGATGACAGCAGGGATGTACTCAGAGTTGCTGCACAGGCTGCCATCTGTGGGCCTGGGGGCCAGGCGGCACTCCCTCAGCCGGATGCAGCCTCTCCTAAACAATTCACCCTCCTGGGCTCTGAATTCCTGGCCTACCAACTGATCTGCTGCCAGTTTATTCAAATGCTCAGGTGAAATTCCACCTGGAGAAGAGGCAGGGGCATAGGCATTCTGATCCCTGGAAAGAGATCAATATTTGGGAAGCACTGAAAAATGTTAGCTGTGAAAGAACTTCAGAATCGGCACCAAGAAATCTCTATTTCCCCATCGTTGTTTCTCTTCGTGCTCTGTCCAGAATGCCTATTGATTTCAGAAGCAGCTCTGAGCTTTGGGAAACAATTTGGAGGAAGACGAACACCACCACAAAATCTGACTCTGAACTCCAAACTGTTCTCCTACAAACACTTGGTGCACCTGATTTCCTCCATGACATAATCTCTCCTAATCCAATTTGAAATCATGGTTTCTGTTCACTTTTCAAGAACTGTGTAAAAATAAACATTTCAGCGGACGTGACTGTATATGAGCTTTGGCAACCCTGCTTCTTGACAGAGCTGTTTCGCCGCCTTCCACGGTCTGGCTTTCTCACCATAGAACCCTTTGCAGTATTGCACTGGACAAACAGGAAGTAGAAGGTGCATCCCGGCCCGTACCCGGGAGGGGACCACTTACAAAGTCACTGTGCTAGCCTGCAGTGAGAGAGCAATGTTAATTACCTTGCTCCTGGCATGGAAAATACTAAAATGACCCGCACGATGAAGATGTCAAACTGTCTTTTTTAATCCGACACCTGCACTGGGAAATGCTAGGAATCCATGACACTTACAATTAAATACCTAAGATTACCAAACACAAGTTCAGACAGGGCTAATTTAGAAATGATTGTCAAGACTCACTGAGCACAGTCATAATTCGGGAGGAAAAAAAAAGGTTTAAAACAGAAAAAAGTCCCACAGAGGGATTATGTACATGGTTTCCCCATTTGGAAGCTGAATTGAAAGTCAAAGACACTTTATTTAGACTAAAACTCACAAAGATTAAAAGATAACTGGGATTAAGAAGAATCTGTGGTACCGAACTATTCCCAGGGAAGAGGTGCTATTTCTATGAAGGAGAAGCAGAAAAATCTAAATACTAGATCTCCTTTCTTTCCTATGTTTTGGTAAAGAACAAAGAATTCACCTCCAAAGTTTTGTGTCAAAGTGGAATTTTTGCTTGACACTCATGTTGACATTTTTCCCACATGGAATAAAACAGACAGGAAATAGTGAAAGATGAAAGTGCCAGACCATGAGGAAACCAAGATCTGTCCTAAGACCTACTCAAACTCGAGAAGCCTTGAGTATATCCCAAGTCATCCTTTATAAGAGAAAAAAAAGAAAAAGAAAAAACTCAGAGAAGCACTTTTTATCTCTTATAATTTATAGGAGACACTTGATCCTCAATATCTTACCTGGCTAAGTGAAAATTCTGTGACCCGTTTCAAGAGACTGTCTATAGGAAATATTAGTAATCACAATATGGGCAAAGAAAGGATTTTTGAACAAGATATAACTGATGGAAACCAAAGCTACTGGAAAAGAGGGAAAATTAATTTAAGAACATTGCATGCAGCATAATGACAAACTAAAACCTGGCCAAGATCAGATAAATTTTCTTCGGGGAGAAAAAAAAAGACCTACGTATTAAATCATAAAGTTGAGTTTTTAGTTCAGTAGCTCGTGTTTGGACAACAGCAAGTTCAGGCTCATTACAAAGGTGGGTGTGGTGCTGAAGCCAGGTTGGTGGCGGGGGGGGGGGCACTTAGAACATGAAACCACTTGGCATCTGTTAACCAATGACAGGTCCATAAACGCCTAGGAAAACAAACAGGCTGGGCGGCGTGACAGGTGCGATAGGCCAGCCTTGTTTTTGAGAGTTTTACATGCAAAATCCCAACAAGGAAACAAAAACCTGGACCCACCTGCCCTCCAGAGAGGCTTTCTTCTTCTTCTTCACAGAACGGGGGACCTGACTTGGGAGAGAGGGACACTCGAAGGTTGGAGTCCTGGCAGCCAGGCTGCTCCTTCCCCGAGACAAACCATTAAAATGGAGTTGCCACTTGTTTCTGACATTCCCGTGACCACTTTAAAGAGACAATCTCTCAGTTTCAATCCTCAGATTACCAGCTCAAATGTCATAAAGGCAGAGCGTGCCTGGGGCAGAACTGTAAAGTGGGCCAAGTGTGTTTCTTGGGTGGCCCCAGCTGTCTCTACTGGAGCTGTTTCAGGAGCTTTCCTTCCTCTCTGCCTCCCTATGTGTTGGGGTCTGCATGTGACTCCCAGGATGGTGGTGATACACTCATGGGTATGGATGTCCAGGTCTGCTGCCGGGGCTAGGGCCCTGCTCTGCAGGTGCAGGTGGAGAGCTCATCTGGAGAAAGAGTGATCTTGGGGGTCAGTCATCAGGGGAGGGAGCCCACCTTCTAACTCTGGACCTGGAATTCGGAGGGAGAGCCTCAGATAGGACAGAGAAAGGGACCCTGGTTCTCTGGGCCAGGGATCTTGCTGGATATGCTCTCTGAAGACAAGCCAAGAGCTGGAACTAAAGAACCCAGACAGGGTGACCCAGTTTAAGCCAGGTCTTTGGAGCTGGAAAATAAATTGCTCAGCCTTTGAAAGCAGGGCTGTTCTAATGCTCCTATGTACTTTGCTTTCTTTTCCATCTGATTCACCTTTTGACGGTGTTTGAAGGGCCCCAGCCTACCATAGCTGCATTAAGGGGAACACAGGGAAGGCAATGGTGTCCAGGCTAGGGCAAGGACTTTTTTTTTTTTTTTTAAGATTTTATTTATTTATTTGACAGAGAGATAGAGAGAGAGAGAACAAGTAGGCAGAGAGTCAGGCAGAGGGAGAGGGAGAAGCAGGCTCCCCGCCGAGCAGGGAGCCCGATGAGGGGCTCGATCCCAGGACCCTGGGATCATGACCTGAGCTGAAGGCAGCCGCTTAACCGTAGGGCAAGGACTTTTAAGTATGTACAACACACCTGTGCAGCCAGGCACAGCGGCAGAGCTCCATGAAATAAAAGAATCCCAGCAGAAGTCGAATCCTTTGGGAAGGGGGCCCAGCTATCCCTCTCTGTACAGAGATCCTCCTTCTGGGCCCAAGCCTTGATTCTGGATTGGGATTCTGATTCTTGGCTCTGGATTTGGTTTTATTAGGGGTGTGGTGATCTTACATTTCAGGCTCTTTCCCCTACCTCTTAACAAAACTTTCTCCTAAGAAAAGAATCAGAACTATTTATTCAGCAAACACTGAGTACCAGGCTCCAGGTAATGTTCTGGAGGCTATAACACAGTGGTACTTCAATCCTGGTCATCGGGAGCCGAGACTCCCACGGGTGAGTGCTACCTCCCCAAGCTCGTTCTAGTCTCAGCCTCATCTCTGATTCTGAATGGAAACATTTTATCCTTCCTTATGGGAATATCTGATGTCAGCAGCAGTTTGGCGTCAGTTTTCTGGACCTTTAGATCTTTGCAAGGCCAATTTTGGGCGCAGATCCGGGCTGACCATATTCCTGTTCACTGCTCTACAACACTGATCAAATGATAGTATTTAGCACATGACCAGGCGACTTGATCTGTTTCCCTGTGAGTAATTAACAGGCAGGAACTTGCTGCGCCCCGACTGCCAGGCTCTTCACTGCACTAAGTTAAATCTCCTAACAACTGTTCTAACAATATCTTGCCCACTAACAAATTGACACAGTGCACACAACAGATTGGGGGTAATAAATTATATTAAATTACAATGACTTCCCTAGCCTTTGGTAAGATAAATATGCTAATAAAGTCTTATTCTGAAAGACTGAGCTAAAAAGTAATTGTTTCCCTCTAGCACTCCCTCTGAAAGGCAACACCCAGACTGGAATTGAAAAGGCAGAACTTGGAAATAAAACACAAAGGTCTCGTCGCCATGGATACGCACCGGGAACCAGGATATCCCATCCTCCTGTGAGGAAAGTCTCAGCCTCCCGGTCTTCCTATGTATCCCAGCCCCAGGGCCATCTCAGCCTTGGGCTCCGTGCCCAGGCTACTGATATTTCCGGGCTTACGAAACCTGCAAAATTAAAGGAGGGACGCCTGGGTGGCTCAGTCGGTTAAGCGTCTGCTTTCAGCTCAAGTCATGATTCCAGGGTCCTGGGATCGAGTCCCGCATTGGCCTCCCTGCTGAGTGCTTCTCTCCCTGCTTGTGCTCTCTCTCTCTGACAAATAAATAAGATCTTAAAAAAAATTAAAGGAAAAATTCACTGCCTTAAAAATACGAAAAGAAAACGATATAACTGAAATGAATTCGGGTTCAATTATACCTCTACGGTATTAGTTGCTAATACCATACACAATAGCACCGACTGGGGGGCTTACACCGCAGAGGTGCATTTCTCTCCCAGCTCTGGAGGCTGGAAGTCTGAGATGGAGATGTTCGCAGGTTTGGCTTCTCCTGAGGCCTCACTCCTTGCCTTGCAGATGGTCATCTTCTCCCTAGGTCTCCACAGCCATTTTCTCTGTGTGTGTTTGTGTCCTGATCTCTTCTTTTTATAGGGACACCAGTCACATGAGATTATATGGCCCATCCATATATAACCTCATTTTACCTCCATGACCTCCTTAAAGGCCCAACCTCCAAAGACAGTCCCATGCTGAGGTCCCGGGTGTTGGAGCTTCAATATATGAACTTTGGGGAGACATGATTTGGTCCCTAAGATTTATAAAATACATTAAGTCCATGTGATTATTAAATTTAGAGTTCACAAATGTTTTTATTTACTTGAAACCATTTGGAGGTTAAAAGTTCTTACTTTAAAGGATTCTTGGGTGTTCTCAGATTCTTTAAAAATCATGCCCAACTGTAAATCTGATAAATTACTTTAGGGAAATATTCACGGAAGCAATTTGATTTTCTAGCCCACAGTGCTCTTCCAAACTCCCCCTCGTGAAATCCGCCTGCCTGTCTGACACTTGGATGTCTGCATGACATCTCAACCTCAGCGGGTACAATCCCCTCCATACCTGCTCGGCATGCAACGTCTCCTCGTCCTGATGGCGGCCACATAAGTTGCTCCGGTCAAAAACCAGGAAGTCCAATTCTGGATCCTGAATTTTTCTCTGAACCCAAATCTGATGTATAAGGAAAACCCGTGGGCCCCGAAGTCAAAATACATTGACATCTGCACATCTGTCACCACCTCCGCTGTGTTGGAGTCATTGCTGTCTGCTGCCTGATTATGGCTTCGGTCTCCTTGTGGTCTCTCTGTCCTTACCCTTGACCCTGTATGGTCTATTCTCAAAATAGCAGCCAGAGCAGTCCAGGCAAATGTAAGCCAGGCCATGTCAAAGCCTGTAATGCTCTTCCATTTCACTCAGAGTAGAAGTCAAGCTCCAAAGCCCAGTGTTCTAGCTTCCTGCTCCCTCTCGGAGCTCATCGGTAGCCCACGCTGCCCCTGCCCAGTCACAAGGGCCTCCTTGCTCTTTCTCCATGTCGGGGAGCTCATGCCGTGGCAATTCCCTCTGCTGCGAACAGCTTTCCCCTAGATGGAGCAAGGCAGACTCCCTGACCCCCTTCCAGTCTTAGCTCAGCTCTAACCTTCACTAATGCTTATTTTGACCACCACATTGTGACTGGTAACCTGTCACCATCCCCTCCCTGAGCAATCCAGAGCTCCCGTACCCCAATCTGCTCTGCCTTCCTCTTCCTGCCTCTAACATACCACCTGCTTGTTATGCTTATTGCTGGTGCTTCCCCTAGCCGCCCACTCCCCGCTCCAGGTAGCCTCCATGTTTTGTTCACAAATGTCTCCCCCTTACCTGGGCTCAAGTCTGCCACACAGTTGGCACTGAGTAAATATCTGTTGAATGAATGAGCAGATCGGTGAATGAAAAGTACAAAATTCTCTTCAACAATCAAAAAGTGGGATTTAATGTAGGATATGGAGGAATTCATGTTTTTTAAATAAAATTTATGTTTGCTACAGATCCTTACAAACTAGTGTACCATTTTCTGATTGCTAAGATAACTGTTCACCTTCTTCCTATTTCTCCACCTAAACAACTCCAGGGTTCATGTCTCTTCTTTGGGATCAGGTATTTTCTGGACAATCTCTAAAAGAAAACAACTTTCCACAAACTATCCTTCTGGAGCCGGACAGCCTGGATTTGTACCGTGGCTTCATTTCCCTCATGTGCACAAGGTAGTAGTAGCTATCCCCTGTGGCCATGGGAGGATTAAAGGAATTAATTAATGCAAATTCCCTAGAACAGTGCCAAGCATATAATAAGAGCTATCTAAGTCTTAGTTATTTTTCTTCTCAATATTATTGTACCATGAAGAAATTGGTTTGTGAGATATAACACTGTATTACTTTACCTTGGTTTTAAATTGTATTGATCAACATAACCAAAAAATAAAGCAAAAAACAAAAATCAAAGTTCTGTCTATCTGCATCACACAAAATATCCGGACAGGTTTTCACCAAATGTGAAATGATCTGACTTAAATATAGACTCAGTGGCATGGCAAAAATTCGCTTTGGAAAAACGCCAAAGGAAACTTCAAAATGATAGGAAGTCTTTGTCCAGAACGGCATAGACTCCAGGATAACAAAAGTCTCATTGAACTGAAAATTAAGAGAGACGTGCTATAAATATTAAGATGCCACTGACAGAGAAAGTCAGAGACATTATGAATAGAAGCCCTAAACTGCGAGTCACAAGGGCAAACACTCCTAACTGCAGATATTGAGTTGCTTTCCAGCTACTTTTCCCATGAGTGACTCCATGCAGGCTGATCCAGGTGAGACAGAAGGACCTATTAAATAATGGGTAATGCTCCTGCAAAGCAATTCCAGGGAGATCATGTAGCAAGTAAAAATAAATCAGTCCCTTTAGAGAAAAAAAAAAGTGAAATGATTCATTCAACATGAAGTCTGAGGAGACTTAAGCAGATTGGTGAAGCACAGGCTTTTGGGATCTAAGGTCAACTCGCAAGTAGGGGAGCGATTTATAACAGAATTTTAAAATTATAAGTGACTTTAAAAATGATCATTTTGCAGTTGAGAAAAATTAAGAAATTGAGAGGTTAAGTCCATGGCAAAGAGAAAAAAAAAAAAAAGATCTTCTGTCTCTTGAGAGACCCTATAATGTAAGGATAATAAAAGATTAAAAACATATTAGTCTACAATGTCAAAGAGAGTAGAGAGGGGCTATCTGTAGATGAGTGATTTCAACAAAATTCTGTTAAGGCAGCCAGCCAGTGGAGAAGTGGTGAAGGAAGCCTGCAAGGTGGAAGGAGGGGCGAGGTGCTCACTCAGGGGCATTTGCCTCAGAGGGGGAGGTAGCTTGCCCTGCAGGACTCCTCAGAGGCTTAGGGATTAGAGACTCCAGTGTGACAAAAAGTAGGAGTGAAACTTGAAGCTGAAAACAAGTGGATTCTTTAAAGATAAGTAAATTAAGCAATCGATGTCCCAAGCCTATTACATGGAATGCTATTACTTAAGCATTCCAAAGCTGACAAATCAGGTTCCTTTTTTAGAAAAGTGAGTCGCCACCTCCACATTCTGACTTTGGTCGACTCCCAGGACAACAGCCGCCTCCCTGCCTGGTGGTCCTAAAACGAAACCTTACCCCAATCTACAAAGCTCCCAATCTACTTTTAGACTCTTACTCTTAAATATGAATGGCCAACCTGGGATCGATAAAAAGTTTGAAAAGGACAGTTCATGATAAACAGACAGAAAACATGATCCCAAAAGGAAGGGATAATGTGGGGAGTAGAAAGGAACTAAATAAACACAAAAACTCTGGCATTCTCAAAGAAATTGAATAATTACATTACATCTATAAAATGAAAGCAGAATGTTTTGATAAATGAATGGGTATGAAACAAGATAAAAAAAAGGTCTTACAAATTAAAAAACAAGACCCAAGAGGAAATAAGTCAATAGAGTCATTGGAAAAAGGATTAAGAAAATCTCTTAAAAAATAAAACCGATTGACAATGGTATGAGAGAAGTAATACATGATGTCCTATGTCTAACACATAAGGGCTTCGGGAAGAAAGACTAGAGAAAATGGAGGGCTGAAAATTAGCAAAGATATCATACAGGAAAAATTATGAGTTGAAAAATACAAGTCTCCACATTTAAAGAGCTCACTTTAATAAATGAACAAATGAAGAAATGAAGAAAGATCTGTGTCCAGCACATCATAATGAAATTTCAGAATACTGTGAATAATAAAAGAATCTTATAACTCTTGAGAGAAAAATCAAGTAACGTACAAAATATCAAAAATCAAAAGCTACACTGCAGACAAAGGAAAAGCATATTTAATCTGGATCAAGGCAAATTAGTAGTTTTCAGGTTGAATTAAAACATTTTCAGCATTACCTGAAGTTACGCTAAAGTTAAACAAAGAACTGAAAAAGAAAAGGCAAAGGGAAACAGGTTCAGTCAAGGTGTGGAGGGAGGTAGGTTAAGGGAATTTCCCTGTAGCAGAGAAATTAACCTAGCTTGGACCAGGAGAATGAGGGCTGTGAAGGAAAGGTTTCTTTGGAGAATGTGGGGCACAATAGAACACCTAATGTTTGAGAGCATTTGAAAAACTTGAGAACATAATAAAGGAAAGCAATGCAAAATAATAACTAGAAACTCCAGGATAAACAAAAGGCCATGTATAAAAAGAAATCTTGTATGTGACTTTGTGACTATAAAAATTGTGGTAAAATGCACATAACATAAAATTCACCATTTTAACCATAATACATCGGCATTTGGTATATTCACACTGTTGTACATGCCATCACCTCAATCTACAGCTGACCCTCAAACAACATGGGTTTGAACTGTGTGGATCCACTTACATGTGGATTGTTTTCAATACAGTACAGTACTATAAATGTATTTTCTCTTCTTTTTTTTTTTTTAAAGATTTTATTTATTTATTTGAGAGAGAGAGAATGAGAGACAGAGAGCACGAGAGGGAGGAGGGTCAGAGGGAGAAGCAGACTCCCCGCTGAGCAGGGAGCCCAATGTGGGACTTGATCCTGGGACTCCAGGATCGTGACCCGAGCCAAAGGCAGTCGCTTAACCAACTGAGCCACCCAGGCGCCCTGTATTTTCCCTTCTTTATGATCTTTTTTTTTAAGTTGCTTTTTTTTAAGATTTATTTATTTGGCAGAGAGAGAGAGAGCACAAACAGGGGGAGCAGCAGAGGCAGAGGGAGAAGCAGGCTCCCCATGGAGCAGGGCTCAATCCCAGGACCCAGGCATCATGACCTGAGCCGAAGGCAGACACTTAACAAACTGAGCCACCCAGGCGCTCTTCCTTATGATCTTCTTAATAACGTTTTCTTTTTGCTAGCTTACTTTATCGTAAGAATACAGTATAAATACCTATAACATATAAAATACGTGCTAAACTACTATTAACGTTACTGGTAAGACTTCAGGATAACAGTAGACTATTAGTAGTTAAGTTTTGGGGGGGGTCAAAAGTTATACATGACTTTTCAACTGTGTGTGGGATCAACGCCCCTAACCCATGCATTGTTCAAGGGTCAACTGTAGAAATAGAAAACCCCATGGCCATTAAGTAGTCAGCCCAACTCTCATCCTTCTTTTCCCTGGCAACCACTTTTCTGCTTTCTGTCTCTATGGATTTACCTATTCTGGATATTTCATAAAAATGGAATTATACAATATATGGTCTTTTATGTATGACTTCTTTCACTTAGCGTACTGTTTTCAAAGCTCATCCACTTTGTACCATGTATTCGTACTTCATTTCTTTTTATGGATGAATAGTATTCCATTGTATAGAAACACATGTTTACCACTTGATGGTCATTTGGGTTGCTTCCACTCTTTGGCTATTGTGAAGAGTGCTGCTATAAACATTCATGTCCAAGTATCTGTTTGAGTCTCTGCTTTCAATTGTTTGGGGTATATACCTGGGAATGGAATTGCTAGATGATAATGGCAATTCTATGTTTAAATTTTTTGAGTATGTACCAAGACATTTTTCACAGTAGTTGCACCATTTTCTATTCCCACCTACAGGGACAAGTGCTCCAATTTCTCCACATCCTTACCAACACTTGTTATTTTTCCATTTTTAAAATAATAGACATTCTAATGAATTTGAAGTACTATCTCATTGTGGTTTTGACTTTCGTTTTCCTAATGACAGTGATGTTGAGCATCTTTTTCATGTACTTATTGGACATTTG